ATTACAGCTATAAGGCGGCGGTCTGTAAATAATCGAGTCTGGACCAGACAATCCAGTGATCAACAGCATGAGCATCGATCTGACAATTGGGAACCGATGACATGTGTCAACCAAGTCAGCGAGCCTGACCACCCGATCCCGTTAGTCGCCTCTTACGACATGCATAGCCGCCTTTTGTGACAAGCATGGGTTGCTGAAGACCTATTCTATCCCGGATCTTCACGGGTCGTTTTCGATAATGGATGTTGTAGCGAATTATATAGTTGACCCGCCTTGGCCCGGTCCGGTCGAGTCGGGTCGAGTTTTAGGCTATCTCCTTCTCGTTGTTCCAGTATAATAACTTTCTTTCAAAAATCGTGAAGTAACGAGAAAATGCTCGAAGCAACGAGTAAATATTTGAAATTTTTGAAAAAAAATGAAACAACGAGAAAACCTTCGAAGCAACGAGAGTATAATTGAAGTAACGAGAACATACTTGAAGTAACGAGTAAATACTCGAAATTTCAAGTTTTTGACAGAAACTTGAAGTGATGAGAAAATATTCGATGCAACGAGAAAATAATCTAAGCAACGAAAAAAATGCTCTATGCAACGAGAACTTTCGCTGAAACAAATATTTTATGCTACAAAAGTTGCAGCATTAGGATTTCGTAGACCACCACCATAACCCCATCACAGAATGAAATGTTCGTCCACATCCCCTCCTCCATTTCACATCTCTGGGGATTTTTTTCGTCTGACGTTACTTGGGTCATTCATAATGTTTTCAGCGTCATTATTTAAAAACATCTGCAGGGGTATGACAGCAAGGTTACACGAATGTTCAGTTTGCAAAGTCATTTTTGAGTATCTGAGTTGGGAGTTAATGCAGCTGAAAAAAGAGTATTTTATTTGCATATTCCATAACACAAATCCCATGTATGATTCTTAAGCCATATTCAGAAATATACATTTGGAAAAATAAGGTGAACCGCAGGTACCTATTACATTAGAATATGTATTAAACATTTTTCCTCCTTTTAGTTGCATCAAATAGGTTTACTTCATTAAAAAGAAATAATACAAAACAACAACAAACAGCAATACGATATACAAGTGCTTCGGTGATATTAAGTACCATTGGAATCAAACATGGATAGAGTTATCGTTCTTTGTTTGAAGTAGTTCTGATGTTCATACGCCAATATGAAATTTTTCCAGAGAAGCACGAGTCTCTATTCTGTTTGTCCCGGAATAACACGAGTTGGTCACGAATGTACTGAGAATCCCATAAAGGGCCTAGAAATAGGATTTCGTAGCCTCCACAGTACTGAGTTTGTTTGACACTATTTACAGTTAGTATGATGTCTTGGGGTCATGAAAAGGCCTGTAATACTCTCAGATTGTTGTCTCAGTTTTTTTTACAGGCCATTATATGTGGTGGGGGTCTGCGAGCATTTTCGTCACATTTGGTTTGCTGCCCGACAACACCTCAAAGTTAATCATTGATAGTTTTACTACTATCAATGTGATTACTTTCATTTTGACTTCTGTGTACTGCTAAAGGATGTAGAAATTATTTGACATAATTTTGTTTTGAAAAAAAAATCATAATTGCCGCCATTTTGTTTTGTCGTGTTTTGCCTTCTCAGCACTTAAATTTACATAACAATGAACACCGAATGTTTCCATTTACATCCACAGTTGATACGTTTGATGTTTTTTGACACTTGTTTCTCCTAGAGTGATGGCTTGGGCACAAAACAAGTCATTTTGTATGGTCATATCGTTGTAATTTAATGTTTTACAGCTTATTCTTTGAGACAGGGGTATTTTAGCGATTCTCCGACTTTTCATGGAAATGTGTGAGGGTGATTTATTTAATGGCAGTTAACATTATTTTTGTTACTAAAACAAGTTGTTTTTGTTTTCTCTTTACTTCTAGAGTGACGGCATGTTATTAGGAGTTTTTATATATTACCCAGAATTCAAAATGGCCGCCATTGTAGTTTAACTACATATACTTAGTGGAGGACTTAGTGGAGTCAAAATGAAAGTGATCAGATTGATAGTATTACAGGCCTTTTCATGAGCCCAAGACATCATACTAACTGAAAATAGTGTCAAACAATTCAGCATTGGGGAGGCTACGATTTGAAATATTTCAGCTGCCTCCTCCTGGACTAAGTTGCTGAGAGTTACCTTTTGGACTGGCATGGTAGTGAAAAACGGACCTTGGTTGGTATATTCATATGTATAAATAAGATTAAAAACAATTTCAAAATGAAGATTTTTTTTAATGTCCTCCAACTCTGATTGGCCGAAACAGGACTTTGTCATATTTTGTCTTTGCAACTTTAAGGTCATGGCCTGCTACACACTTAAGCACATATGCCAGATGGTGTGTGTCCTAAAGCAAATGACTTCTATGTGCTTCTATTCAACCTGCAGTAAATGGGTAGAATAGATGGCGATGGGACAAGGAGCAGGCAAAGAATATCAACAATACACTGACCAATTAACCAGGGTCATAATGAAGCGCTTTGAGGATACTTAACAGGTTGATTTGGAACATTAAATGTGTCCTGTTCTTGGTTTCGCTGCGAGCTTAAGCACATATGTCATATGCTGTGTCTCCTAAAGCAAGTGGCGTCGAAATGTGCCTGTATTCATCCTGCACGAAATGGGTACACGGTAGAATTAGATGGCGATGAGTCAGTTAACCCCAAAGGCAACTTGTGATGTACACAGAGCAGGTTCCAGACAAAGAAAATCCAGAACACACTGATCAATTAACGAGGGAATTAATAAAGCGTTTTGAGAAAGTTTTACGGTGAGGATTTGGCGTATTTAAATGTGCACATTGTTATATGTTTTGAATATGTCTTTCCTTGTCGCTTGTCGTAAGAGGCTCGGGTGGTCAGGACTGCTGACTTGGTTAACACATGTCATCGGTTCCCAATTGCAAAGATCGATGCTCCTGCTGTTGATCACTGGATTGTCTGGTCCAGACTCGATTATTTACAGACCGCCGCCATATAGCTGTAATATTGCTAAGTGCGGCGTAAAACTAAACTCACTCACTCACTCTTTCCTTGTCCTGAACAGATGAAGAAATCAATGGCCGCCTCTGCGTCGTTCCTTGTGCTGCTGGTTAGCGTCACGGATGTGTGGTGTGGTACATTTATTGGCCCAGGTGAGTTTAGTCACCTTCAGGCTTCGATGCAACATCATGCCTAAGTCTCGGTATACAATATCTTTCCTGTCACACAATCAATACATGTCCAGGTCTTCACTCCATGAGTACTCGATTGTCACACAATCAATACATGTCCATCTCTTCATTCCATGAGTACTCGATTGTCACACAATCACCACATGTCCATGTCTTCACTCCATGAATACTCGATTGTCACACAATCGGCACATGTCCATGTCTACACTCCATGAATACTCGATTGTCACACAATCAATACATGTCCATGTCTTCACTCCATGAATACTCGATTGTCAGACAATCGCAACATCTCAATGTCTTCACTCCATGAGTACTCGATTGTCACACAATCGCCACATGTCCATGTCTACACTCCATGAATACTCGATTGTCACACAATCAATACATGTACATGTAGTCACTCCATGAGTAGTCGATTGTCACACAATCGGCACATGTCCATGTCTACACTCCATGAATACTCGATTGTCACACAATCAATACATGTCCATCTCTTCACTCCATGAGTACTCGATTGTCACACAATCGCCACATGTCCATGTCTACACTCCATGAATACTCGATTGTCACACAATCAATACATGTCCATCTCTTCATTCCATGAGTACTCGATTGTCACACAATCGCCACATGTCCATGTCTACACTCCATGAATACTCGATTGTCACAAAATCAATACATGTCCATCTCTTCATTCCATGAATACTCGATTGTCACACAATCGGCACATGTCCATGTCCTCACTCCATGAATACTCGATTGTCACACAATCAATGCATGTCTATGTCCTCACTCCATGAATACTCGATTGTCACACAATCAATACATGTCCATCTCTTCATTCCATGAGTACTCGATTGTCACACAATCGCCACATGTCAATGTCCTCACTCCATGAATACTCGATTGTCACACAATCAATGCATGTCTATGTCCTCACTCCATGAATACTCGATTGTCACACAATCGCCACATGTCCATCTCTTCACTCCATGAATACTCGATTGTCACACAATCAATACATGTCCATCTCTTCATTCCATGAGTAGTCGATTGTCACACAATCGCCACATGTCCATGTCTTCACTCCATGAATACTCGATTGTCACACAATCAATACATGTCCATCTCTTCATTCCATGAGTACTCGATTGTCACACAATCGCCACATGTCCATGTCTACACTCCATGAATACTCGATTGTCACACAATCAATACATGTCCATCTCTTCATTCCATGAGTTCTCGATTGTCACACAATCGCCACATGTCCATGTCTACACTCCATGAATACTCGATTGTCACACAATCAATACATGTCCATCTCTTCATTCCATGAGTACTCGATTGTCACACAATCGCCACATGTCCATGTCCTCACTCCATGAATACTCGATTGTCACACAATCAATACATGTCCATCTCTTCATTCCATGAGTACTCGATTGTCACACAATCGGCACATGTCCATGTCCTCACTCCATGAATACTCGATTGTCACACAATCATCACATGTCTATGTCCTCACTCCATGAATATTCGATTGTCACACAATTGCCATATGTCCATGTCTTCACTCCATGAGTACTCAACTGTAACACAATCACCATATTTCTGTCTTCAGTCGATGGGTACTCGATTTTCATCCAATAGCCATATGTCCATGTCTTTAGTCGATGTGTATTTGATTGTAACACATATGTCCATGTCTTTTGTGCATCGGGATGTGCATTTGTTCAAAGTAAATGACGTTCTGGTATTTTTTCAGTACCCGCCAATCCGATAATGGTGACACCGGACCCTGCAGCAGTGGACGAGACCGCGGGCTCTATCGTTCTCACTGTTACCAACACAATGTTGCCTACTTCCGGCTTATGGGGCTTCACTGTGAGTGTTTATTACTTTCATGTAAAATAGTAAGGCTGTAACGATGCATTGAACTATCGATGGATTGCAATTGTTGAGCCTCCGATAATTAATCGATGGTAGAAAGAAAATACTATTGATGCATCGATAGTATGTATGGCTATCAATAGTTTAATAATTGACTTCCGTCGGCAAATATTTATGTTGTTTTGTATGTTTGTATAGTTTGGGTGAAGACTTGTTTTAACTGTTTATTTGATCCCAGTTTCAAATTTCTTAACAGATATTAAAAGACTACTGACTGACTGACTGAGTTTAGTTTTACGCCGCTTTTAGCAATGTTCCAGCAATATCACGGCGGGTGGACACCAGAAATGGGCTTCACACATTGTGCCCATGTGGGGAATCGAACCCGGGTCTTCGGCGTGACGAGCCAACGCTTTAACCACTAGGCTACCCCACCGCCCCTTCAAGAAGACAATTCAAGGAGAAAAATATTATTTTGCAATAGACTATCGCTATCGCAATAGTCACCCCTATAAAATAACCTAAAGTAACGGGATGATATTGAGACTGGAACGAGTCTAAATTTAATTTGCTACCCGGGTATCCGATACCTTATTACTCGGCTTTACCCGCTGTAGGACTCTTTGGTTGGGTACAAAATGTCTGATAGAAGGTGTTTGACCGTACCAAGGCCAAACACTATTCCCATACACGATCTGCGATCTTAGCGCTCCAATGATCGTAAGCGTCATATTATAACATTGACATAAGACCCAAGTGGACCCTGATCATGCACGCACTGAGATTGACTGAAGCTTCCTATTTCTATAAACGTCAGAACGAATGCCTGCATTGGCAGAAAGAGCCAACACCAGCAACTTGAAGTGTAAGTATGGAGGAGCATTGTTATTGTCATTAAACAATATACAATATACGTTACTAGCCCGGGTCCGAGAAGTACTATGGATACCCGGGTCCAAAGCAAAACCAACCCTACCCGAGTACCAGAGTTTCCTGTTCAAGCCCTAGTTGGTATGAAGCTGTATGAAAGGAACGTGTATAGGTTTGTGCTCAGGATTAAAACGCATTTTACACAATGTATTGTTGTGGCGTCCTTCTGTTATAAATAATTCGTATTGACCAAGGTTAACCCATGATGTAATGTCCATTGATAGGTACATCATCCTAAAAATATCAACACCTTACTTACTGCATTGTTCTTCTTTAAGTACGCAACGGCTGACGACACAGCAAGTGGATCCGACTACACAGCAATCTCTGCAACGCCAGCGCAAGTTCAATTTGACCAAAGCACCTTTAACATTACGATCCCCATTTTGGATGACACAGTAAGTTTACTTTCCGTTTAAAATCAACCACAACCCTTTCTCTTATCTTAATGAGGACGTGGGTTAGGTTTTACGCCGCTTTTAGCAATATTCAGACAATATCACTTTGGGGTAGAAAAGAAATAGGCGTCGCACATTTTGGGAACCGATCACGGGGTACATTATGACCAATATAGTGATGATGTCAGGTGTTTCCGACAAGGACAGCGTGTTTCGTTTACTCCGTGGTACTAGTCACAAACATGCGAAGTCAAATGTGCACCTGAAACAATCACGGAAACATATGGTTTCAGTCATAACTGGAAAGTACATCAGGAACTATTTTTGTCACTAATGTTTCATATTTGGCAATTTTATATAAAAGTGTTTTACTAGGGCCATGAATGCCGTAGTTCAGTATGTATCTTGTCTGTTTTATCTGATGTGCTGTTCAACGTATGCTATCTAATACGATTTCAGTTTTAAAATCAGCTAGTCGTCCTTAGCATAAACCCTGGAAGAATGATGTGAATCTTCCTCGAGCTTTATCTATTCAATTTGCAACATGTTGATGTATTCTTTGAATCTGTGAAATGACTAATCCCACTAAACATGCGCCATGGTTTTTACGCTGCCATTATCGTGACACGTGTTGCTTACAACTAGTTTAACCAATATAGACGAAGAAATATTTTGTTTTACTGTAAGAATAGGTGACAAAATTTCCCCCGATATTTGACAATTATGAGTAATAGTAATCATCCATTGCTTTGATAATTTCCTTACATATTCTCTGTTCAGGATCTCGACCCTGGAGAGACGTTCCTGGTCCAACTAACAGGCTTCATACGGGGTGAACCTGACACGAATGTGACAGTCACCATAATCGACGATGAACGTCAGTGACATCTCAAAGAATCTACTTGATAAAAATCATATTCGTCAAACAATACGTAAACCCGTACGAAGAGAAGAAATATTGCATACGTTTGTTTGCTTTAATCATGCAATTATATGATGTTACAAGCATCTAATTTCACTTTTATCAAACAAATGAGAGTGAGTGAATGGTGTTTAACGCCACAGCGAGCAATATTCCGTCTACTAATTTAGTGTAGGCAAGGCAATCCGCTGGTTGATGTTATTTCCAACGCCGTCAGGTCACACTGAAAGGCACCCGTGAAGATCCGGGTTAGAATTGGTCTTCAGTAACCCATGCTTGTCGTCAGAGGCAACTAACGGTATCAGGTGGTCAGGCTCGCCGACTTGGTTGACACGTGTCATCGTATTCCAATTGTGTAGATCGATGTTTATGCTGTTGATCACTGGATTGTCTGGTCCAGACTCGATTAACTACACACCGCCTCGATATAGCTGAAATATTGCTGAGTGTGAAATACGAACTCACTCACTCAGTCACTAAATCGAAAGGCACGGCATTTAACGACCCTCTCCAATAAGGTCGACTGGTCCTGAGCAACCTATACTTGAGGTAAGATGCGATTAGCGGGATCTGATGGTTAGATTGGTGGTTTGGTTGTGATGCCTGTAATCATATCCCCATTGCATAGATCGATGATCATGGTGCCAATCACTAGATTGTCTGGTCTAGACTCGAAACAAGAAATAGCGACGACATTCTCTACAAGCAATAGAATACTGGTGACCTGTTCTTACTCTCTTCCCCACAATGTTCATCCTCCAGAGACACTATTTCTGCAGGTGCACCGGTGCAGTTGAAGCAGCCTGCTGACATTGCAATCAATGAGAACGCTGCCAACAACATAACTCTGACACTTGAGAGGAATGACACCTCCACCCACAGCTTCACACTCCAGTTGCACATCATCGCTGGTACTGCCGATGCCGGGACGGACTTTGCACATTTCGGACTGTGGTTAAATATCACATTTGCTGAAAACGTAATGAGCGTAACAACTACACTGGCCTCTGTCATCAATGACTTGGTGAGTGTCACTACTGACAAAATATTTTCTACAAAATGTCATGCCTATTTAAACTGGTCTAAAGGGGAAGGTAATTGTTGAAGTGATACGTGAACAAAATATAGGTGTTCGTGTCAAACTGAACTCGTCTAAAGGGAGGTAATTGTTGTCATGGTAAATAATACATAATTCATTAACAGTGCGTGCGTATTTACACTTTTCTAAAGGCGATAATCCTGGTAGTGGTACGTGAAAACATACATTTTCACTGGGACATCGTGTCTGTTAATCTGGTCCATAGCGCGGTAATTGCTGTTGTGGTACATGATCAAACATAAATTGTCTTTGAGCGTTCGTGCCAATTTGAATTGGTCTCCAAAGGGAGCAAATTGTTGCTGTGGTCCTGTATGGAGACAATATACCTGGCAAAATTAAGTAAGGAGTATCAGTTGGATGGGTAACTGTGAAGGCAGCTTGACCTTTGAGAGTTTTTATGGCTTCGGTCGTGACCACTACAGAAACATCAGTCACACTGCATGTTCTTATGTTTTTGCCACAATGCCTCATTGCCAAAAACAGGGGCGGTGGCGTAGCATAGTGGTTAAAGTGTTCACTCGTCACGCAGAAGGCCCGGGTTCGATTCCCCATTTGGGTACAATGTGTGAAGCCCATTTCTGGTGTCCCCAACCGTGATATTGCTGTAATATTGCTAAAAGCGGAGTAAAACCATTTTCAGTCAGTAACGCCAAAACAACTGACGCATGAAAAATACATTTTGCCACAGCTGGAGGAACCCACAGAAGTGTTTACCATTTTCATCACCGGCGCAGAGATCAGCAACAACATCACTGTGACCGCCACCATCAGCGACAACGATGGTCAGTTTCATAAACTGTGCATAAACCCGGTGGTAAAATTGACGGTTTGAGCTGTTTCAAATGGCGATATTTTGAGAAGATTTATGTTTGGACCTAGGGTTTCACCTCTCATTTTAACAACTTGACTCCAATAAAAAAACAAAAACAATGCCAATGATAATTGTTATGGCTTTTATTGTAAGTTATATTCTGGTGTATACTAATTAGTTCAGTTCAAATAGTCAGTCTTTAAAGTTGTTGTATTGTATCAATATATTCACATCAGAATGTCCTGTGATTGTCAAACAGCTCCAGATCCCTTCCACTGTGGTAGGGGTGAGAGTCAACTTTGCCTCAACAATGGCACCTGCAACAACGACGGATGCCTCATAAACACTGGCTTCTGCAATTGTACTTCTGGGTTCCAGGGAGTGAACTGTGGAATTGAAAGTAATAATTAATAAACATTGAAACATAAATCAGTCAGATAACACGTAAATACAAACTTATTTTTGACTGAAAAATGTTGATACACACAATTTTGCATATTCAACTTGCTATATTATACAATTATAGCACCAAGGTCGATAAATCATTGGATCAACCGAACTGAAGGCAATAATTGTTTATTATATGACAACGGTACTGAATACCTGTTCTGTCACATAGCATACCACCGATGGCGTTGCACATGACCCAGAGGTGCAGCCATTTTGATATTGATGGGACGTAGCTCTAAACCAACATTGTGACGTTAAATAATAACTCACTCACTCATCACTAAACCAACACAGTCACAGGGACGAAGCGATCGCTTCCTTATCTAGCGTGACGCACGCAGTGAGGGCTTCACAGCTGAAATATCCCAAATCTATTTTTAGCCACGGGAGGGTCTTGGATTGTTATATCAACCTCTCGCGACGTGGAGAGGTTGACATCGCTTAGCGTCAAAGCTGTCATGTGACCAAGTGGACCAATCAGCAGGGCTGATGTCTGATGTATTGCTGTGTCTACCTACATATACTTCACTGTACACATTGTGCAATACAGTCGATGATGACGTGCGTTGTGACCTTGACCTTTTACGTGTATTCTAGCGTTGGCGATAACAACCACCTGCAGTCCAGCGTGTGTGAATGGAACATGTGTGAACGGCACGTGCATCTGTGATCCAAGTTTTGCAGGGGACATTTGCGACAAACCTGCATGTGAGTTGATGATATATTTGTCTTCTGGTATGATTTCTACGGTAAATAACGCATCTATCGTGAGGCAACTATCAGACTAAATATGTTAAAAAAGGAATTTTGTTATATGAAGTACGCATGTCAATTTCTGATTTACGCCAACCAGGGGCTTAATTCACATTCGATGCTTGTTATGTACGAAAATACGACAAACCAGTCAGAACGTCCGTAATGATTGCGATGCTTTGATAAAAATAAATCCCAGTACTTTAATCGCTTATGGCATTATGTGATTGTTAACCGTGAAAGGTATATATCGTCATATTGAAAGTACAAAGAACGTAGCTAACAGAATTGTTTTGTTTCATGTGAAGTTTTTAACAAAAATAATGCCAGGGGTGGTGAGAGATTCAAACACACTCACGTGCATTTGTTTCCATAATCGTTTTGGGGGGTCATTTATACTTTTTTCATCGTATTGATTTTAAATTTCCACCAGGGGTATGGCAGCAAGGTTCCATGAATGTTTGGTGTAAGAAATATTCATAAGTCATTTTTGAGTATCTGCTTTGGGATATTTTGTGGCTGAAAAAGGATGATTTATTTGCATATTCAATAAAACAAATCCCATTTGTGATTCTTAAACCCTATTTAGAAATATATATTTGGAAATATAAGGTGAACAGCTGGTGAACGTTAGAATATGTGTTTAACAAATATTTTTTCGCCTGTAATTGTATCAAAGAGGTATAATTCATCAAAAAATAAAAAATATAACAGCAATACAATATACGAGTACATAGATGATATTAAGTACCATTTGAATCAAACAGGAATAGAGTTTTCGTTCTTGTCTAGAATAGTTCATGCGCTAATATGAAATCCTTCCAGAGGGGCACGAGTAGCTAATCAGCTTGATCAGGAATAACACGAGTTGGTCCCGAATGGAATTTAAACCTACTGCTCAAAAGATGTCATTTCACTACAGCTTTTTTTTTTTTTTGGTGGGGTGGGGGTGGGGGTGGGGTGGT